GCCTGTAGTGCTGCAGGGGGTTGTGATCCAAGTTCAGGACCTGGCACTTCATCTTGGACTTCACACCATTGTCCTTGGCCCACCAGTTCAGCCTGTCCAGATCCTTCTGCAGAGCCTTCCTGCTCTCCAGCAGATCAACATTCCCCCCCAACTTGATGTTGCCTGCAAACTGGCTGAGGGTGCATTCAGTCCCCTTCTCCAGCTCATTGGAAAAGATGTTAAACAGGTCTGGCCCTGATTCTGAGCCCTGGAGAACACCAGTAGTGACCATTTGCCAACTGCATCTCATTCCATTCACTGCCACTCTCTGGGCCTGGCCATCCAGACAGAGTGCATCCAAAAAGAGTGTCTAAGCCATGGGCTTTCAGTTTCTCCATGAGAATGCTGTGAAAGACACGACTTTTCTGAAGTTAAGGTTATATCCACAGCCTTCCCCTTATCCACTATGTGGGTCACCTGGTCATAAGAGAAGATCAGGTTCTCTGAACACTTGTGGCTGAACATGTGTGATTAAAGCAATCAAAAAGCATATAAGTCTTAATAGTCTTTGGAATTCTTGAAAGGCTTTAAAGACAGGTGTTACCAGATGATCCTTGGCTCCTTGTAATATCTATTAGCTCCTCTCCTAAACTTACCTCCCAAATCCAAGCATTCTGCCACTGTGTCATGCTCAAGAAAGTCTTTCTGTTGAGAGGGTGCTCTCATGTCATGAAAGGGAAATTTGAGTGAGGAATACACTGGAATTTGTAGAATGAACTGTGTTGTGGAACATGACTGTCTTTCAGAAAATCCCCTCCGTAGCTCTAATATGTGATGCCATGGGGTAGACAGGTATGTAGCTGCTTCTGATGAGGGGGAAAATGGTGCCTTGAGTTTCTGTACTGCATCTGTCCACTGGAATTGTCCCAGCATCACATATGAAATGGAGGGGGCAACTGATTCATTGGGGATGAGTATAAAATATCTAGGATAATAATTGATTAGTTGTTTAATTTTTTATAAGCTAAATTGAAAATTTTTTGTGATTTCTGTTTTCAAGTGCAGTTTATGTAAGGGTTCCCTTTTAGTCAGGTAACTTACTACTGGTTTTAAAACAGTACACCAGTTAAGACATGGAACTGAAAAACAGCAGCACTTTTCAAGGCTGGCATTCTTAAGAATGTGGAGAGGACTTCATGTTGATCAGTTTTGATCTTAGCAGATGGATTTTCTTCCACTGCAGAGAATATGCTGGAGCCCTTGGATCTGTGCATCATTAAGATGAAGTGGTTATCGGCATAGTATGGTATGATGTGGTTTTGTTTGTCTTGGGCTCAATTCAATCTTGGGGTATTGCTGCCTAGTTTTGTTCCTCTTTGTGTACGCTCATAAAAGGTGGGCAGCAATGCTTCCAATTGAAGCCTAATAAGCTATTAGGTTTTAAGTCAAGAAGCTAATGAATGTACTGGCCCAAAGAGTTATCTGCAGTGAGATCTCAGATGCCAGGGTGACAAGATTTTTGAAGCATGTAGCACAAAACTAGAGAGAGACTCTGAAATGAAGTTCTCTTCTAAAGAGCTAACTCAAGTTATGTTACCAGCCTACAGTTCTTGTACAACTGCTTGCTCAACTAGACTTTTACACCCCCAGACCTTATTACAGGGTGAATAGCATGTCATGAAATAAATAAAGAAAATTGGTGGAGTTTGGGTACTAAAAGTCTACTTTAAGTGCACCGCCATTATGTAGTAATAAGGTAAATTGAATGAGTTGGTGTAGCTCATTGCACCATAATTGTGCTGAAGTAGCCACAGTTGGAAACAGCATCCAGTCCCAGCTCTAATTGAGATTCTCCTTTTATCTGGGATTTCAGTCACTGTAGCTGCTGGTAGAAATTCTAAAATATGAAGGATAGTTAGGGATGCAGAGCAACTGCTTTTTTTTTCTCTCTGCGTTCTTCTTTGGGGTCTTTGAAGAAACAAATACTGAGCAACTCTTAATTCTCTCTAGTGTTGTATAGCAGGGTCCCCAGTAGGAAGAGGTTGCACACTCTTTTTCTGCACTTCACATATTTTTCAAGGAATCCTCCTGTACTATATGTATTCATCCTGAAATAACAGATGCCTAGTCCGTGTATGCATGGAGTCATACAATCATTTATCTTGGAGTGTACATTGTCATACTCCACAAAAGTATGCCTGTGTCTTAGGGCTCCATGGGGTGGAGAAATAGGTGCACACACGCGCACACATCATTATCTTCTGCATATGTGCAATAGATTTTATATGTGTTAGGACATTTTGTAAGATCTGGATCATGCAATCCCCTTTAATGATAGAGAGAGGTGGAATATATTTGGCTAGCTCTTGCAGAATCTAAGATGGGCCATATGTAATAATATATCTTTGAGCAGGCTGTTTCTGCAGCGTCATCATACTGACTAGAGTCAGATTCTTCCTTGGCTCATCCTAGACACCCGCTTTATATGACCCAGAAAAAAATATGGGGGGTGTGTGAGAGGGGTGTATTTTTAGCTAAACTAAAGGGTATAAGCAAGGTTAAAAAAATAGGGTAATGCAGGAACCTCATGGCAACATTTTCCAAAATAAATGAAATGGAACAGGCATTGTTTCTCTGATATTTTTAATGCCTGTTGATACATCTGGAGAATCTAGAAAAATAATTTTATGTAAATTACCAGCCCTTCCAATGTTGTTGCTTCATAATGTGCAGTCAGAGCTAGAAATGGATGTATTAACTTCTATTCTGTCTTTATATAGTAGAAAAATTTAGGAGTTGCATGGCCTCTTTAGTTTGTGGCTGTAAATCAACCTGCAGTGGTAACTATTTCATAAAATTCTGTCTGTAGTACTGAGTGTCTGGTGAGTATATGACTATTAAAAAAACTAATCTGAACCTATTACAGTATCTACTTTAAGCAAGTTTGCATTTAATAAGTTCTTATTTTCCACAGCTTTGTTAAAACCACCTTACTCAAGTGATTTTTTTCAAAGTTCTGAGTGTTAGCCATTCTAGCAGGTCAAGTGGTATAATAACCTTGCATTAATCAGCAGCTAAGATTTATATCTGTACCTGCAGCATCACACTAGGATACTCGAAAATAAACAGCATGATGTTTATATTAGTCATAAACAAGTGTCTTTCTCAGTTTGGTCACATGCATTTAATTTAAAATACATCCAGTAAAGAAAAAATCACTTGGCACTTTCTGTTTCCATTTTAAGTAATCAGTTTTAAAATAGAAGCAGTACAGGATATGTTTTATAAGAGGAGCTATAAAGAAGAGGACAGATTCTTTCATCACTCCAGAATGTCTTTGAGGAGGCTTATAGCAGGTGTAGGGGAGAGAGGCTGAGGCAGCCCTGGGCTGTCCTTCACCTCTGCCTGCTCTGGAGCACAGGGGGGACTCCCTGCCAGAGCTGTGAACACCCAACCTGTGGCTCTCTTTACTCATTTCTCCTCCTCCCCTTTTTCTGTTCACTGTCCCCCACCAATATAAGTTGTGTTTTATGTTTGAGGGGTTCACTTCGCTGTAGAATAACCCAGCTGTGATCCAGCATGTGCAGAGGGCTGCCAGGCTTCTCTGTAGAGATGAATTGCATTCAGGCAGGACTAAAAAGCCTCACTTCACAAATGCTGCAGAATGTAGTGGAACTGGAAAATTAAAGATTTGGGTAATAGTTTAGGGTCAACAGTCTAAAAGCTTTACAATTCCACCTGTCCTGTAGGAAGGGAATATCATGTTCCAGAAGAACTGTTCTTCTGTGGAATTCCCCCCTGAAGGCCAGTAAATATTCCACTGGACAGGTGGAATTTTAAGGCTATGTATAGCATTTCTTGAGATGGGTGCTTGTATATTTTTTGCTCTCTCACCATCCTTTCACTTAACAGTATGTACTTGAATCCTGTGAGCTCATTTTGAATTTACTGGACACCTAGTACCTACTAAAAGTATACATTTCAACAGCACTATAACTTCCAGTTTAAAATGCAACATACTGCATTATCTTTCCTTTTGTATTTAAAGGAAAACGTTGAACACACTCAGGCAACTAACAGTAGCAAAAATGAAGTGGACCTGAGTATAGCAGTCTCAGTTGCCTAGAAGCAGAAAAACAACCAAGGCTAACATTTTTGTTCTTGATACACAGCAAAGAAAGTCAGCAGATTCAGAATTTAATTTGTGACTATTTGGCATAGGACTTCTCATTAGTGATAGACAAAATTTCACCTCCCAAAGTAAGTAATTCCTTCTGTATGCATAAGTGGACTTGACAAGAAACTTCTGTTGCAAGTTGCAGTTTATATTGCCTTACTGTATTTATTAAGTCTTTGTAATTATATTTTAAGACATGTAGCTAATAAAGCAGATGGTCCTTCATCCTTCTGACTTGTAAAAGTTTACATTAGACAGCTAATTCCTTTCCTAATGTATAGTTCCTTAGAAACTGCTTTTCTTTCTAAATGGCAGGCTTATCATAGACCTAGAGTATCTAGGCGAGAGCTATGGATGGGGACAGCTAATAGCCTGATTTCTACTGCAACAAGCTATTTGGTATAGGTAGCTTAAGCATTGCAGTGCCCACCTTGAAATATTGATCAGCCTGTGAGAGACCTGTCATAAACCCTCACTTTAACTGCTCAGGAAAAGCACAAATCCCACTGCTGTGTATCTAAAAGGAGAAGTAATATTTGTATTGACTTGGTTTTAGCAGTTGCCATCAAGTACAGAAGTCCAGAATAGCCACAAAACATGCACGAATACAAGCTTCGCTTAGTTTTCCAATTGCTGTGTGTGTAAATAAGTAATACAATATGAGAAGACATGTCAAAAGGTACCATATCGAGTCTGTTAACACTGAAATCTGTGATTTTCAGAGGGTCAGGGTACAGAATGTTACATATACAGTGTGTGTGCAGTTGCATATGCATGTTCATAGACATGACATGAGTTCAACAAATATAATGTCAAAAATTTGACTCTGTGCCATTTGTTTCAGGCAGTTATTTGGCAGAAGACCAGGGTATCAGATCACAAAATGGCCTGTATGTCAGTTCTGGGAACAGCCGTTATGAGCAGTATGGTACCTTTTCAACACTGCTGCGAATATCCTGAGGTGAGTTTATAAACTTCCTTCTCCCAAATTCACTTCAGGTCTGTCAATGAAGAGAGCTAAAGAAATACTCAGAAAGAAGGAGACTTTGAAAAAGAAGGTGTCTCTCCAGATTGACATCTGATTAATGCATTTGATTCTATTACTGTCCTCTCCGTAAAATTAATTGGTTTGGTGATTGAAAGTCCACTCCAAGAATCACCTCGTCAGGACTCATGTGGCACTGATCAAATGGCAGTAAAAACAGTTGTGATGACAAATGCAGAATTGCTGATTGCTCAGAGCTGTCTCAGTTGGGATCCTGGCCCACAGGCAGGTTGTGCTCTCATTAATATCTAAGCATTTAGATGGTTCTCATCTTCGTGGCCTCTTAGCCTTCTACTCTAAAGAGTATTCCCTCAATTTCAGTGTGGGCACCTGAGCGGTGAAAGAAACACATACTTAGAAGGGCAAGTTATGCAAAACTTCCACCAAACATGTATTTCAACTAAATACCTTCTAGTTTTCAAAAAAATTCTGTGTTCTTGGCTTCTTTTTCCCCTTCTGAAAATGAGGGGATTCCCCATGATACCCTTCTTTGTCTAATGTTTTCAAATTTTTTTTACTCTGCTTCCATTTTTGTTGGAGAAATTTTTACTAAAGGGGAATCTTGCTACCTTGGAACCTTCTAAGCTGCATTTTCCTGTATCACGTAGTAATAAACCTTGACAGGATGAGATGAATCATTGTAAAGTCACAATGGTTCTTAGACACAACTTACCAAGGCTGCATTCAGCACGGTGCTTAATAATATTACTCAGACTTTAAGGTCTCACTGTTTATACGTGCATCTTAATAGCATTCTTCAGAGTTAAGTCTTGAGTTTGCCAGAGTGCTTTTATACCTGTAGTAGAATGAGGGGGAGCAAAGTCACTTCTTGTACTTTACAAAGTTTTAGTTGTTTATGTCTGAGCTGAACATCCAGAGCTATTCTTACCTGAGTGTAGCTTGGATGTGCCCCCAGGACAAGTGCAGGGGGCTCCAAAGGGAAGATAAGGGGGTATATGGAAGGGACTAGCTTGGAGGAGGCACTTAGGTTCTCACATTACTTCTCTGCTATATCGTGAGGCATCCATATTCCTTGAATAGAAGTTGGGGAACATTCCATCTCTCTCTCTGTCTCTAAATAGTGTGTAGAATACCATGTGCATCATTTATAGGTGTATAAGTGATCCATGCATAATGTTGACGTTCAGAAACTATGGACATTTCTAAACTAGGCAGCCAAACACTATGGAGTGACAGAGTTAAGTTGCCTGTGTAATAATTTTTTCCTCCCTTGTGTGCAGGTATTGGAACAGGTATTTAAGGGCAAGGCATACAGTGATTTTTTTTCCTTCCCATTCAGGCTATCTCTCATTTGCTACACAGACCAGAGGGCAGCTCTTTAATTCTTTTAACTCCTATTTTTCATTGTGTAGCTTCATGCTCCTTTGCTGCAAAGTCTATTCTGAAGACAAAACTAATCTTGCTGTTCCTTACTGCAGGGTTTAAACTTCTTCAACAGGTGATCCAGGGATTTTAAAGACTGGCATTCTTGAAAACATCTCCATTATGGGCACTGAATGAAACAGGAGCACGTTTCAAATTAGCTTTGAAGCATGCAAACTCAGGAACTATTTGTAAAATAAAAAGAAAACCAAGAAAATAAAGAACTGGCACAACTTTTTAAACTTTTCAGATCCCCAGTCTTGTAAATGGATAGACTTATTTGGGCTGAAAACTTCCACACAGGAAATTTCCCTAATGTCTTCTTTCCCTGTGAAGGTTAAGTTTAGCAGCTACATGTCCCACTGGGAAAAAGATAAGTATAAAAGAAAGGCATTCTGCTGTCCACCTCTCACAGATATATTTTGATGCATATAGAAGTTGTGGTTTTTATTAAAGTATTAATTTTGAAGACAGTTTATCTAGTGTGAAATCAAAGTTTCGTTAATATTTTTCAATCTCTGTAATTTTGTCTTCATATGTTTTCATATATGGAAATTCTGCTAAGACTAGTATTATAAATTGTAGGTAACTTTTAATGAGCGTTCTACATGGCTGTAAATAGTAACAGCAGTCAGCCATTTCTAAACCTGGTAACTTGTTAAATGAGTTATTTAGAGACTTTCAGTTTTGCTTTAATGTTTGCTGTATATAAAAATATTTTTGGAAGTGAAAGACTTGTACAAATATTTGTGAATTAGAAAAAGAGCTTGAAGTGCAGAGGAGGAACATTGAGGGAGGATGTGCTAAAGCTGCAGAATAAAATCTCAAAGTGCTGCTTGTTGTTTTCTGATAATCATCCAACAGATACTTGACACCTCTTTAATTTGACCAGTGGTGTTTGGTTCTTTGCGAGGTTGCTGACCAGAACACGCCAGCTTTAGCACAGAATGCTTGGTACAAGGTCAGGAGGGAATAAGGGAGCACATGAGCAGATAGCTGTGTGACGTAGATGAATGGGAAGGATAGGCCAAATCCCATGGATCTTAAATTCCATTTCAAATGCATGATAATTTGGATTTTAGTAAATACAAGAGGTTCTGCCAAAGGCAGAGCTTATGAGGACTCATTTCTGTGTTCAGTGATCCACCCTGCTACCAGAATATTCTCCAGACTTTCTCATACTTCCAAAATCCTCATGCTGCCTCTGTTCTTTTCAGCTGTTAGTTTGGGAAGGTGGAGGAGGGAAATGTGTGGGGCAGGATGTGGGCTGCCCAGGATGTCAGTTCTTGCATGCTGCTGTTCCTAGCTTTTAAAAAGTTACAATTGCCTTTCCTTTAGTAAGGTCATTATCTTGAGGCTGTTCTCTCCAAACAGATGTCAATTATCACAGGAATTGTGGAAGTCCATCTTCGTGATTTCTGCTTCTTTATCAGATTGATTTGAAATCCATCCAACAGTTTCAAAGTTGCTTAGTGAGGGAGAGGGGAAAGAGATGGGACAAGTAGCACAAGTCATCAGCCTTATTTTGACCTGAATAACCTGCTAAAGAATCTCGACAGAAAAATCTTAAAACTTGGAGTTCAAGTTAGGTACACACAAATCATGTGCTGTTTCCAAGGCTCCCTGGCAGTGCTGTGCTCACAGGTTCTGCTGCAGCCTGTGAATCGTGGGTGCTCAGCACTCTTGAGAGTCAGATGATTTGGATACAGGTGGCGTAGGTAAATTTAGTTGCCCTGAATAAATGCCCTGTGACAGGCTATTTAAGGTGCTATGAACATAGAAAAGGAGGGATTGTGTGTTTTGGGCTTTCCCTGTAGGGGTGGTTCACTGTTGCCCTGGCCAGGTTGGGCAGCACTCTGTGCCTTTGGCTTGGACAGGGCTTAGGTTGGCAGCCCCACAGTCAGCAAACCTGGGCCTGCTGGCCTGGCTCTCCACAACCTCAGCTCCAGGCAGCATCCTGCTGCAACTGCCAGTCCAAATGGGAAATATGTCAATGAATTGACCAACCAAAATAGATACAAGCCCATCTTTCTCAGCCTATTTTTTTTTCTCTAACTGCCTTTATCTTTGTATATTGTAGCTGTCAAGAAGCAGTGCTTACATTTGAAAGACTTGGACTCCCATACAATTTTGTTTTACTATCTCACCTTTATAAAAAAACATTTTGGGCTCTTTAAAAGACTTCTTCACTGTATTTGTTTTATCATTGCAGATAAATCTTTCTGGTTTTCTCCCAAAAGCTGAGTCAGACGCTTCTTTGACAAGCCTTTCAAGTTCAGAAAGGAGTTTCATATTTATAAACAATCGTCCAGTTCTTCAGAAGGAAATACTGAAGGTAACATCCTCTAGCTTTTAATTCAAGGAATAGAAATATGATTTCTTTGAGGACAGAGACACCTAAGCAATCTACAACTTCTTTTCCCCCATGCAATAGTTTAGAGTATTACAGGTGAAAATACTAACATTTACAACAGAAAGCCCTTCCACAAGTCTGACACTTCTGGTGCCTCAGTTCTGTTCCATTTGCTGCAGTCGGACCACAGAGATAGAGGTTGTGTTTTTGGCTGTTTAACAAAATTGATTTCAGATGCTCTGTGCAAGACACCAGAATAGTTGATTCTTTGTATTGGCCTGTAGAAATCACCTGTGAAATTTCCCATAAGGGAACTTTGTGTAGTTTCTGGTAAGAGAATTCTTCTGTCAAATAGTTTTGATTTTGTCCACTTCCAGCTGTGGGCTTATCAAGCAAACACCCATGCTTTCCCTTTAAATTTATGTATGCACTGGTTAGAAATGAAAGTGATAGTGCGGCAGCATTGGCTACAGCTAGGCATCGTGTAGGCAGAATTTGATACTCTTGGGTTTCTCTCACTACTGAACCTTGCAGCACTTCACTTGCAGCAGCCTTGCTGTCCTAATCCTTGTCATCACCAGTAAAGAAAATCATGCTCATGCCAAAGAGCTCCAGCAGGTTTTAAAGTGGACACAACAATAGTTTTCAATTGGCAGGCAAAACTATGTATATGTAAACCTTGAACTTATGTTGGTATGTTAAATGCTGAATAAGGGTCATCCATCTCCATGCATTATTTGACGTGCCTGGCTCTTCTGGGAGTTCAAAGCTTAGTTTGAATCCCCTGACAGAGATGGTTCCTTAATGAGAGCAGGGAAATCTGGATTCAAGGTGGGATTCAGCTTAGAAAGTATAAATACAGTGTTCTCTGTGGAAAATAGTCTATATATCACTTTTACCTCCATGCTATGAAGGCATGGAAACAAGCAGGAACTGCTCTTTTGGTGATTATTCTGGCATACATGAATATGAGGACCTTTTAAGCATCTCTTTAACTTGAAAAACTAACAAAACCAGCAAACCAATTATGCTTTTATAATGTCACATTTTGTTTCTGTGCATTTTTGTCTATTTTATTGCCTTTACTGATGTCTCTTTATTAAATCAATGTCTAGTTAATTCGACAGTACTACAGTCAGGTGACACAAAAGGAATGTACTCGCTTATATCCTGTTTTCTTTTTGAGTATTACTGTACCTGCCTCTGCTGTGGATGTGAATATAACACCTGATAAAACACAAGTTTTGCTGCATTATAAGGTAATTAAGGTTTGCTCTGTTTCTGAGTTGTCAGTCTTTATGTAAGCATGATAAGGCCTCAGGACTACCAGAATGTTCAAACATAAACACTGTCACTGGGTTTTTGGGGTTTTTTTTAGTTACATGACAGCTTGCCTTTGTCAGAGCACTGTTTTGATCAGAAAGTACTGAACAGGCTAACTGGGGGATTCTTCAAAATGAGTTTCCCAGTTCATTTAAAAGATTTTAATGCTGTCAGATATACACATGTATCACTTTGGTTTCAGATGGCTTTACAGTGAGAGAAGCTAAATGGAATTATGGTATGTGGGCCTGTATACATCTCATGCTTAACTTCATATTTAAAGCAAGTAATCACTATTTAAACACCACCACTAAGGTGAGGGTGGGCAGGAGAGGAGTTGATTTTTCTCATCAAAGCACTATTTTGTCATTATGTGTATATATTATTGATGACATCAATTAAACACCACAGAAATTAGAAAGATTGCATTGGTGGTTATTAATGTGCTTATTTAAAGTTAATATAGGTAGTCCCACCAGTATGTTAATCCTCTTATGCATAAAAACCTTTTTTATTTGTCTGTGGTACTCTTGTAAATGTCCTGCCTGTTAAGGGTCCTTTGTATGAAAATTAATACAGCATTTTTACATTTGATCTAGTTTTCCTTTGGCATTAGAAAAAAGGTTGGAATTTATTTTCTCTCTTTTTTTTGAATTTATTTCTATTTCTTATGTGTTTTGGTTTTTATCTGGCTTGTTTCCATCACTTGGTGCAAAGTTGAATTGGAAACATGCACCATAAAAGTACCTACACAAGCACATTCAGGTGCTGGTGCATCTGTTTTGGCTGTAAACTTCTAACTCCATATTAGGTAGAAATAACTTCACATGATACTGGTTCAGTAAGTCATAACCCTGTTACAAAGAAAGTATTTCATTGGCTTTGTGATATCAGAGTAAACTAGTGAAGCAGAATACATGTCACAAAATATTTGAAGCTGAAAGTGGCCAATTCAGAATCTGTTGGAATGTGTGAACGACTGAAATGCAGTGATCTGCCGAGATTTGTGTAAAAATTATTCCAAATATGAGCACTTTGCATATTGTTCTATATGCTTGGTATTTGACAGTTACATTTTCAGGTGCACTTGTGTGTGTGTATTTTCTTTTTTTTTTTTTTTTTTCCAGGAATCTGTCTTACTTGCAGTTGAAAATGTGTTGAAATCACTGTATGGGCCATTACCTGCTGCAGTCCCTGGTGAAAGTAATAAAACAGATGTTACCTCAGAAGACATGTTTGTTCATAGAACAGACCAAACAGATGTGGCTGTTAATGAAATGGGACCATCTGGAAATGATGAGCTACATGCTCATACTTCATTCCTTTCACTCAGCAGTGATGTGCAAAACTGTCAAGCAGGAAAAAACACAGAGATCTGCTTAAATCATCAGACATTTAGTGGTGATAATGTATACAGTTGCTTGGACAAAAGAGAGGTTTCTAAGAGTGATACCTTTTCAGACAGTTCCTCAAATTTATTGTGTGAGGAAGAAAAGAATGGACAGAATATGGCTGATATTCAAAGTAATAGTGTTCCTGTGGACCCTGAATCTAAAAAAGCCAGTGAGCACCTTTTGAGTTCTGATAATACTGACAAAATAGATAAAAATGAGGAAATCTTAGTCCCTAAGGATTTACCTGAAATCTCTGCTGATAGTTGGAGTATGGGAAGTGCATTTAAAGACATTCTGGGAGACAAGCTGGAACCTGTTAAGATCTTGATTCCTGAAGTTGGAGGGACAACTAATAAGCAAAATGAATACACTGGTGAAAAAAGCAGTGATCCACAAAGCTCAAATCAAAGCATAAAGAAAAAAAATGTAATAAGTGAAAAATTTGGACATGTGACAGCTTATGACTTAATTAACAGCAAAATAATAAAGAAACCAAAGTCTGCATTTGAATTTTTCACACATGAGTGTCGTCCAAAATTGATAGATGATAATCCAAAGACCAGCATGAATGACATCCTGCTGACAATTGAAGAGCAGTGGAAGAATTTGAATGAAGAGGAAAAACAGAAGTAAGTTCAGGCTGTGTCTTGCTTCTGAATCTGGAAGCTACCAAAGAGTCACTTGTAATGAATTATAAAAACTGTAATGTTCCAGTTATTTACGAAAAAATAGATAATGAATTTTTTCTTCTCAAAATTAGAATCGGTATTGTTTCACGTCAGAGTTGTTGTGTTTTGCTGTGTGCATTTGTGCACTGCAGATTGGAATGACTCCTTTTGCCACTGTGCTGTGCAGCAGTTGGATTAGGGACAGCAGTAGTTGGGGACAGTTCTGCTGAACAGTTACTTAAGATGACAGGCAAGAAACTGTTTGAATCCTACAAACTTCTAAGGGCAGCCTTTACAGTATCACTCCCGGGGCACTGTCCTTGAAAACCAGCATGGTGATGGATGAGGCACTGTAGAGTTCTTCAGAGGTTTTTCAAATTTATTACTATAAAATGAGAATTGTTTTTTAGGAACTTTAGGTACTTGAACACTGGGTAAATTCCATTCCTGTAAATTTTATTTGTATCCTAACCTAGGCTACCTCAGAATTGTATTTGCAAAACCTAGGCAAATGACACAGGGAGTTATTTTTTCCCCTAACCAGCTATTCCATTGCTGGTTCGGAGACTATAGTACAGTCTAAATTTTAATCTGTTTCAAACAAGACCAAATCTCATCCTGGATTACAGTCTGAATAGCTAAATTCTGTATTTTTCTAAAATGAATTGTCACTGAGTTTTTGAAATACATCTGCAAGAAAAGGAAATATTTTAATATTTTAGCTGCATCAGAGTTAATTGAAACCTTTTCACCTAGCTTCTGGTTTACCCAAATGAAAGTTTATTACGCAAGCAACATGCCATGGTCACAAACCCATGCATGTGAGAAAGTGTTTTGTCCATCTCTGCATAATCAGAAATATTAATGTAATAGTAGAAATCTACTCCAATTATATTCATGCTTTTAATGAAATGAAACAAAAGGTTCTGCCAGCTGTTTCAGAAAATTTTAATTTGCTCTGCTTTAGCTTTTGAGATTTCATGGTTGCTTTCCTGGTACAACTGTTATGTTAAAGAGTGTGCCTACAGATTAACTTTGCATTAGTTCAGGAAGGAGACCTCTCTGGTAATCCAGTTTTCCTTATATGTAGTATTGAATGCAATATATTATACACAGTGTATATATATTTTCCTTATAAGTAGAATTGAATCCCATGGCTGTTGAAGGAAATGAAGAATTCGCCACTAGTTGTATCTATAGATAGTAGCTTTGGTTTACTTTTCCACATTTATGACATTAAACTTGTCAGAGAATAGCCAATAGGAAGAGATGCACAGACAACTTTTCCTGCAGAGCAGCAATCCAGAAGGACTTGTGGCAGAGAACATAAGTCTTGCCTCCAGGTACTCTGGATAAATTGGGCCACCTAGAGGTAACAACAAATGCAAATACATCAGGGCAGCCAAGTGCCACCGCACTGCTTCATGCCTCCTTGCTGGCACAACCCCACATTTCCTGGGCTCCACTCCTTCATCCTTCTGTGATAAACTCCTGCCTTGTGCAACGGGTGTGCATGGTTTCAGCATCTCTGTTTCTCTCGTGGCCCCTCCATCAGGTCTAAATTAATTTAAATCCCTTTTGGGAGAAGTGCAAGCACCAGATGTCTCGTAGTGACACAGGATGGCCTTTTCAAAACAAGCCAGCATTTATTACACAACCGGAATGTCAAATGTTATGGTCTTTAGGTTATAATAGAGGAGGAAAGCTCCGTGCATGTTCATGCTGGCAGCATCACATATCCCCCCTGCTTTGCAAAGGATTTCATTCCTTGCAGTCACTCAGTTCTTACTTAATACAGCTTGCATGTGTTTCTGGCCTTCATGTTTCCTGCGTATCAGGCTCAGGTAGGAGTGGGAAAAATCCCTCTAAGTGCCATAACAGTGGCAGGGGTAGTTACCCTGAAGGTGTAGGAAAGGTTCAAAGTTACACACATTGTCATGGGACTAACAAATCACCTTGTCAGCACTCTGCAGTAATTCTTCATGAGTAAATTTGTACCTTGGGAGAAACATTTTTTCAGGTAGCATGGTCTTTGCTGTCAGAGTTTGCAACAAATACTCAAATTCAGATTATTTGTCTTATAAGGACGGAGAGACATGTATTAAAAGGGTTTTTTTAGTATGCTTGTTATTTTGTTTGAGTTTATGTTGCAAGGGGGAAAGAATATATCATTGGTCCATTTTTTTACTTAAACCACAGCTGCCTTTGAAACTAGACTTCATTCCACTTTTTGCTTACATCCAGTTTTGCAAATTTTCTTGGCTTTAGGTTTTGTAGCATCAGAAAAAGATCCTGAATTTGCAGTCTTAATTCACAAAGCAGAGAAATGCTGTTCTTGTAGCACTTGTTGATTATGTGTTCCTCTGTGGGAGGATTTTCAGAAGGGCAAAGGTGTTCCCTCATAGTTTGTAAATCTGCAGTTTTTCTTTGGTTCTGGGCAAATCACTGATATTGATGTGTATGAATTTGGAAGATGCTCACAATCAAAGTTTGTAAGACTAGAATTTTTCTGGTGGTAGCCTAAACTTACAGGCAAGTTGGACTTTGTTTGGAGGTGCATTTTGTATTATCAGTGATCACTGAAGGCTCAGTTCTCCACTTAAATATTTTCCTGCATTACAGTTAGGTCTATTCAATACAAAGTATTTATTGATCTGGTCAAAGCTGTAAATGAATTTGGGATTAAAAACAAGAATTGTTCAAGTGATTTCATCCATTCATTTTAAAAGGAGCAGATGTTTTTTATCTTAATGTTTGCTCCATATTTTCTAGGACGTGATTTATTGCAAGAAACTATTTAAGCTGACTTTTTTAGTTAACTAAATATTGGTACCATATGTGAATGCTAGCACATCATAATTAATTGCAAATGGTGACCCTTTTGTTGACCTTAATTTTCCAGCGTGCATACACATAATTGAATCAAACTGTTTCAGCAAGTAGCAATAAATAAATATGACCAGCTAAAATACTTATTTCCAATACTAACATATGATAGTACTACTTTTTTTTTTTGCTTTGTTTTAATTGAAGATTAGACTGGTTTGAATTACCTTCTAGAATTCAGAATATCAAATAAGGGCAAAAAGAGGGAGTTCAGCAAATGACAACCTTTGCTTTCACAAAAGTAAAATTCAGATGCAATAGACAAACATAAACCTGGGACCTATAAAAGTTTAGTTATCTCACTGACATTTATAAACTCATTAAGAATCCATTCATGTTGTAGAGGTTTAGTACGTAGTAATGTTTTAACTATTTAGACAGCATTTAGGAGTAGTTTTTTATTGACTGTTTTTGAAAAATCTGTAAGATTGATTATTACTTACAGATTTCTGTGATAGTCGTACATATCCTGTATTCTTACACTTCATATGGTTAATTTTAGGCCATTTGTAATCAAATATGCTTTTATTAACTAAGACCTGGGGCTTGGGAAATTATTCAAGCTCCAAAGTCCTGCCAGCCCCATGGCCTCCCCTGGAAGGCTGTAGCGCTCTAGAAGCTTAAATTACTTTGTGAATTGAGCTGAATGTGCTGGTGACAAAAAAACTCCTTCCAAAACTCTGCATTTGATTGCAAATTAAATAAGGAACTGAGGTGAAAAGAGTCTTGCTGTAGATCTTTATATGATGCAGTCTATTCCATACAGTAATAGTTCCTCCCTGTTACAGTAATTGAGGTTTTGCTGGCTTTCTTGATGAAGGAAAATTTCCAGCTTTTGTTCAAGATGTGATGTAATAGAGGCACCGTCACCACCTCCGTCGCAGTGGGCAGCATGTTGATGTGGGTACTTGAATGGACCATGGATGTGATTCTTGGCTCTTGAAATGGTTACCTTTCCTTCTGCTTTAGTGTATTAGGGGTTGGAGTCTGGAGCTTTTTATCTGATGATGCTACTGGTTTGTTTTTTCCTTCAAGTTACGAAATAAAAGCCACTAAGGACCAGGAACGGTACAACAGAGAGGTCAAGAAAGCCAATGCACAGCCAATGCACCAACCAGCAAAGGAGGCAGAAAAACACAAACGCAAGTTAAAGAGTTCTGCATCTGACCAGCAGAAGCTTGACAAGATATTTCATAACCAGATTGAAAAGAAGGGGAAACTGGAACAGCCTGTGAAAATTGTGACAGTGCCTTTTGCTCTGAGTTCCTGTAGACGTCACCTTCAGAGGCCAGAGAGAAATGTTTCAGATGAACACGAGCTTTTCCTGATCCGTCGTCAGAGTTTTCCTGATGTCTGGATACTTGCTACTGAAAAAAATGTCAAGTTGCTGAATCCATATAGATTGGAAGAGGCCCTGCTATGTAAGAGATTATTGGTGAACCATAAGCTTCCTGTAGAGAAACTGGACACTCCAATTGTGTTAACAGACAGGTATAGTACTATGGAGCAAAAATGTGTATATTACTTGAAACATCAGTTGATAATTATTTACAGTAAACTCTGGCAAGGCCCTGTTTCCTAATGCTGTGCTTATTTGTGCACTCATCTATTATAACAGAGTTTTGGGTTTTACACTTTGGTCTTGAAGTACTGAGCACACTTGGTCTTACTCTAGTTGAAATAAGTATGATTTTTGACCAGTTTCATTAGTAGTGCAGCAAATACAAATTTCCTCCCCCAGAAGGAAATTAAATGCTTCACATTTTCACAATTTCACTGTAGCTGACTTTCCCCCAGGAATTAAGAAATTGCTGATAGAATTATTGTTACTGTATGCCTAAGCTTGGTCCCTCACTAAGATAAGTGAATAGTTCTCATTTTGATTCTTTAAACAATTGCTTTTCCAAAATACTTTATAAATTCTTGATGACTCCTCATCACTTGCTACCTTTTTCTGTGGTTTTTGCACACTTGTAATTTTTACATGAGGGATGTTGGTTTTTAACACTTTGGGGATTTTTTTTTTCCAGTCTTATTGGTGGAGCTCAGTATATGGCTGCTCTTTATAAAATGCAGAAGAATTACCAGAGTTTCCATGGATCAGGTTATTTGTCAGATCCAAGGCTTGTAGCAAATGGATTCCAGATAAAAGTGATAGAAGGTATGATGGTTTTAAAATCTATTAGTTGCATTGGAGCTTGTTTCCTATGATTTAATGATTTAAATTATTGTTAATGTGGATCATGTTATTCTGCATCACCTTGTCTTTTAAAGCACTAGCATTCTGCTTTCCTTAACATTGAGATTTTATTTCTTGGGATAGAATTTCTTCCACACAGAACACTGAGTAATGGAAACTGATGACTGAACAGAAAACTTTATTAGTATTTCAAAGAATTTCCTCACTCCTTTTTTTTTTTCCTCAAAATGCTAAATGCTCGTATCCTTAATGCCATTTTGATATAATTTAGAATAAACTGATAGGAATTCCTGAGACCAGGGCACCTTCCGCAAGTATGTGCTTTAGCTGACTACTCCTGTACTGCTGAGCAGTTGAGGAGGTCCAGTAAGAAGCTGGATCCTTGTTAATGTTATACTTTTCTATTAAAATTGTAACCCAGAACCCAAAGGGGCCAGCAAAGATATGGTCAAAGGATCACCACACCTTTTCTCAGAGTTTGATCTGAATATATTTTGGAGGAGTATACTTTTCAGTACCTCTGTTGATCACAAAAAAATGCATTTCATATAAGATTTTTTTTTTTTTTTACTTTATCAAGAGAGCTCAAAGCTTACATCTTCTGAAGAACTCTTTCTAGGGATGCACTGGAAGCACAGGGGTGACGCAGGGTGGGTTCTGCAGATCACGAATTCTATAGCAGAATTCCAAGAAAAGCAAACGTCTTGGGGGTAGCACCTAGCTGACAGCTCAGGGAAAAGATTGGCCAGAAGAGCTGTTAGAAATGCTATAGCTTCATGTGTTACAGATCCCCACATATGTACAGTGATGACAGATGTACTGTAACATATGGGATCTTTTAAGGGTAGGTACAAAAAGGGGATGTAGACCAACTCCTTCACTCCGAGGCTGGCTCTTGTGAAGAACAGCCAAAGCTGTTTTCCTTACTGAAGCATGCCCAGCAAAACCAAGGCAACTTCTTTCTGATTGACTAAATCTCTACATAAATACCAGTACCTTAGTAGAAGAGGTGTTGGTATTAACCATGATAATAATGGAGTAAGTGATTAGGGAAATAAAGCATGTACTGTAAGAGGCAGCTCTTACATGGTTTATTCAGACAAGCAGATCTAAAGCTGAGGAGGTCTATTAGGCAAATATGGGAGAGAGGAATTGTGGCTTAGAAGTTTTGCTCACCAACTTTATTTTTTTTACCTCCTGATATTCCAAGTTTGCTCAAAATATAAGTAATGTAAACTAGACATTAATAAATTGAATGTGAAGATTTGAAGACAATTCATTTTTCATCCTGGGTGAAGAGTTTAATTTCTAGTGTATTTCTAAGCAACAGCAGAGAGATGTTGATCAATCTTGTAGTAGTGCAGATGTGTCATGGTTTAACCACAGCCAGCAGCTGAGCCCCATACAGCCACTCATTCATTCTCCCTTCAGTGGGATGGGGAGAGAATTGGAAAGGTAAAAGTGAGAAAACTTGTGGGTTGACATATAAAGACTATTTATCAGGTGAAGTAAAAGTTGTTTACAGAAATGAAACAAGGAATTAATTCACTGCTTCCCATGGGCAGGCAGGTGTTCAGCTATCCCCAGAAAAGCTGGGCTTCATCCTATGTAATGGTGATTTGGGAGGACAAACATCATCACAGCACTCCACTTCTTTCTCCTTCCCCCAGCTTTATGAGCTCGATGCCACCTGGTCTGGAATGTCCCTTGGGTCAGCTGGGGTCAGCTGTCCAGCTGTGTCCCCTCCCAGCTCCTTGTGCACCTCCAGCCTCCTTACAGGTGGGGTGGGGTGAGGAGCAGAAAGGGCCTTGATGCTGTGTAAGCCCTGCTCAGCTGTAACAAAAACATCCCTGTCTTACCAGCACTGCTTCTTGCACAAATCCAAAACAGCCCCATGCTACCTACTGTGAACAAAATTGGCTGTCTTGGCCAAAACCTAATGGCAAGCTACTTCTAAGACAGCTTGCTTAGTTTAAGAGCAGCATTGTAACACTATAATAGCAAAGAACTTGACACAGTAACTGGGAAGTAGTCTTCCCTTCCTGTGTTCCTAAGGCGTAAATTTAAGAAAAGGAAATCTCAAAGAAGCTGTTCTTGTTTGGTTTACAGGTAAAGTGTTTTGTATGCACTGTGGAGGTTGGTGAACCATAGGAATAGCCCAGTAAAGAATGGAAATCGAATTCAGTTCTTTGTCCCACTCTTCTATATTAAGTACTTGACTGAACAGTTAATAAAATGAGTCTTGTCAGTCATGTTTATAAGCTTATGCTGATGACATTATAGCAGTTACAGCCTTTTTTATTAAAAGAGCGTGCCACTGTAACGAAGGTAGAAATACCAGCAAACAAATGGAATTTCTCCCAGCTTTTTTCCAACTGATCCAAGGATTTCCACTTAATCAGTTTCTTCTTTTTTCTAAACCTGTCCCTGAACTACACTGTCTTCTACAAATACTTAGTAGAGTAGAGTATCAGGTACTAATTTTTAACACTCCTACTGTGTCCTTCTGTGGGAATATCACTATGAAGTTTAAGGTTATTTAATTCATAGATTCTTTTATAATCTCTACAGAAGGAGACCTGCATATCAGGAGTGATTTGTCCCACTTAGACCTGAATATTCTGTAGGATTTCTCAACCCTGAGAGTACCAGCTTGTTTCATAAAACATCTTTCACAATCCTTATAGAAGCATTTCTTTTTTTTTATTGTCCATATTCAGTATCTGGTTTTGTGGGGTTTTTGAAATTCAGACACATCCTGAAAGAGAGGCATTCTGGTGGTTTTGAACTAGAATTTCCTTCAGAAAAGTTCTGTTTCTTCAGGATCTATTGTTAATTTTTTTGGCCAGAGCTTCCTGTTTTGTGTGATAAAGTCACAGCTTGCTGTGGAGAGGTCCTAGAATGGAAATGTGCCATTAACCCGTGGTAACTGGACAGTTTCTCCTTAGCAGCATTCATAGGAGCACACCAAAATCCCATTCTCTGTGCATACGACCTTTGTAACTAATTTTTTCATAACTTCTTGGGTTAATTGGATCAGTCCTAGTATTTGCTATTTCTCAGCTGAACTGAACTATCAGCTCTTTCTCTCTGTCAGGGTCCACTGCAGCATACCAGAAGTCTGTGTTTTCCTCTGGGACTTCAGCCCTGATATGGTCATAATAGATATTCCTTTCTGACTGCTGATTGATTTCTCATTAATAGACACTTAATAGCACTTGTTAATATGCATGGCTTCCTTTTTCATCCTGAGTGAAGAGTTTTATTTTCTGTAGTAGAAAGTTTACTTTTTCTGACAGTGAGATCCTCTTATGTCACAAGCAAATTTGTTGATTGATTGATAGATTAATTGATTGATTACTTATTATTTGAATTTCAATTTGCAAGTGATATTTCTGGTAATTTCTTCTTGCAAAATAACAAGACTTTCTGTTGATCCATGCAAATAAGTCTGTGATGCTATCACTAGCTCTAAGATACCTCCTAAAACAAGAGCAAAGAAAATTTAGCTGTTCCAATTTGACATTCAGAAGTTTTAGTCATAGAAGAGGCTTTCCTTGACCCATGGTGGTTTCTTAAGAGGACTGTCAGTCTAGTAGATTGCACTGATTATTTGTTTAAATCTCTGCAGATATTCTTCTACCAAAGAAAAGCAGGACTGAGAGTATTGCTGCTCATTACCATATATTAAGTCTACTCATAATACTCAGATGCTAACTTGGAGCAGTGGACCTCTTGCCTTTGGTGTTGTGCACTCCACTAGGACAGCTTCCTAGATAACTATCAATGCCTTAAGTTTTAGCTTTCATATTTTCCAAGATTCTGTACTGCCTTAATGTGTAACTCTGAACTTCATATAAAGTGTTAGCAAGTTTTCTTCACAGTTTAGTAAGACAAAACAATCCTTTTCCAGCCTGAGAACCAAGGACACCATTACAGCTTCAGGCCCAAAAAGTGTAAACAATGGCAAATTGAGGAGAGCAATCTGAGAGGATGGGATTCATAACCTGAAGCTGTAATTGGACAATTAACCCAAATATGTAAATGAACCAAAACTTACACTCATGACCTGGTGTGTCCATCTTGGATAGAGCCACAGCCAGGCTCCTGTACTGTCCAAGGTGTACCCTTTGAAGACCTTTAAAAAAATTCCTACTTTATTCCTTTAACTCTGTCTAGCCTCTGTTCCAGGTAGCCTCTCTAGGCATCGCTATAACGATTTAAATTTAAATATAGGGCCATAGATTTAGATTCCTTATTTCCTTATGGTTTTGGGGTGTTTTGCAGATCTGGCTGCTTATTTATTTAAAAAAAGGCCCTGAGCAGCTGTCTTAATCTGGAAGGTAACCAGCAATTCCTGTGTTGCATTCAGTTTGTATCTCAACTGATCTTTTTAAAAAATGCTTCTTTGCAGTTCAGAATCTTAGCTTCTGGTAACTTGTGGCACAGAGGGGCTTTTTATGAAGATTTTCATTCTTACGTTTTCTTACTTGAAAAACAACCCACCCAGAAAGTATTATTTTTTCCGTATTTGGATGACGTATTAGGGGCAGTGTCATTCATAGGATAAAAAAAATGACTCATTCTTTAATCTTGCATTAATCTTGGGATTAATACTCAGAAATTGAATCTTACTTCCTTGCAGTGCTTGGACTTCATAGAAATACAACTCTGTTCTTTAATGACCAATACCTTTTAGTTGGGTGGTTCTGATTTTTATTTACTTTCATACCAGGACTCTTTCTCACAGGCCTTGCTCTGAACCCCACAGCACCATGTAGCACTAGATATACTACTCTTAGTAGGTTTCTGAAAGGTCTAATTAGCTGTTTACTTCCTGAAAATAACTCAGTTGCACATGGAGTTTTGTTCTTGTTCTGCCATTTTGGTGGGAAAACTCCTTAAATGTCTGTATTTTCACAAATGGGTGTTAATTTTTGCAAGAGTGTGGAGGCCTTACTTGCCTATTGTTTCATTTGAGGATATCTGCCTCTTGAATGTGCTCTTGCTAGAAGACAGAAAGGAAATCTACCTTTGTTCTCTTCAGAGATTCTATATGACTGCAGCCAAAATTGTTCCAGGTATCCTAGATTTTGGAAGTGTCCCATCTGCTTCATGTTTTTGGTAGGCTAAGGTCTTTGTATTATCTTCCTGTTTCTCTTAACATTAACTGTTCATCAGTCTAAGGAGTTTTCAACTAGATTTTTCTCTGGATAGCTCACAGTGAAAAACATGTTGTGAAATAGCCAAGAAAACACTTCTTGCTGTCAGTGTGTCAGTTAGACAAAATCAATGGTTTCTTTGTGGAATGTGCCAGTTGTTGTAATTTGCAAAGCTGTGACGCTGAGCTCCAGTCTGTCTTCCACTGCCCTGCTACCCCCTCATGTTCTGCCCTTACTGAGGCTTCAAGTGATGCTACCTTTGGGAGAGCAGTCTGTTTGCTTTTACTTAATAAAGCAAATTACTTAATACTCGGTGTTCTGGGACCTGCCAGGCATTTGTTTGCTCACAGTGACCCCTACGTGCAGGGAACACTTCAAGAAGTAAGATGGATTACTTTCTGTCCAGTTCTTCTTAAGATGTGTTTATTATATGTGCCTTCACTGCACATCTGTCTGTTTGCCTTTGGGAAGGGCCTAGAGAGAGATGAGAATTCTTGCTGGAGAGGAACTGAGACCAAGAACACACCTTAGCTGGTATTGTATCAATGCTGGGTCTTGGGCCATGCTCCAAGGGAGGCTGTTAGGGTAGAATTGTCTGCCTTATGTAGTCAACATAACTATGTCCAAAGAATGTGCTTATAAGGCCTCAAAGAGCAGTAATAGGTAAATATCCCATTGTTCTTGGTGATAGAAACTGCCTCAGCTCTTGTAACCCACCAGTGGAAAACCATGCTGAAATTTCATTTTGGTATTTTGACCATAGACTGGGAGATAGACAGTGTTATAGTGTCACCTAATATATGTGGCAGTTGGAAGGGAAAAGTTTTTTCTTGGCCATCAAGAAGGAATTATCCAAAGATGATGGTAAATGCTTTGTTTGGAAGGAGAAAGGGGAAATTTGTAACAATGAGAAATCCACATTTTTACTCATTTGAAAGCTAGTTTATTTGTTCATGGAAACACTTTCCTTGGAAGTTGCAAAGTATTTCAGAGAAACTACTATGGCAACTGTTTGAGAACTGCTGTTTGAATACTCAAAACTCCTAATATATATTTTATCAAAAATTTACAAGTACACTGAGGTTTAGACATCTGCTTATACCATCAAGTGTTGCCAGTATCAGAGTTCCTGCAGAGGCTTGCATGCTTGCATGCATGTTAATCAGCATGCAACAGGGCTACTTTACAATTTAAAGAATGTTAGCAGGAAAGGAGAGTGGCACACAAACAGAAATACTAAAGAAATAAATCTCCCTTAGGCGTGGTTTGTATTGTTTGTTCTTACATTAAACTCTTTCAAGTCCACTTTGACTTTCAGATGAAAGAGGAAAATGTTGAAGTCAAATCTGGCAGTCAGAATTTGCAGATGAAACAATGGCTATTGGTGAAGTTGAAGAGTATATGACGAAATGTTCTGCAAATTCAGAACCTCACTGTCATAAAATTTTAAAAGGAAGCACGGGAAATACAGGTTTTTAAATTGAATGTCTAAATACCTGAAACTTAAAAAAAATTGTGTCCTGTCTTTGGTAACAAATAGAGGGTAATTATTAAAAGGCTTTCAGATAGACTAAGTTCTAATTTTAGAGAGAAAGCAGCATAATCAAATGGTCTGGAATAGTTCCTCAAATCTAATCTGTAATTAAATCAAAAATAGGACAAAAATTAAGATAAAAGAGTTGAAGGAGATGTTAAAAAGAAATCTTAATCTTTTCCTTCTGCTCCTTACTGACAGGCTTGCCCATGGGGAAATATTAGCATAGTACATCATCTTTTCTCACCTTTATATATGGCAAACTTTCATATAATTTAACATTTTGCTTTAAGCTGAATCTGAACACAGGTTTTACAGTATTCTATTAAAATATGTCTCTGCTTGCTAGCTGCAACTAGGGAAAAGCAGCTTGAAAAAGAGAAGGAAGACAATGCTGACTGCAAAATGAAATAAAGTTTCAGATGTAAAGCAGTATTTAATACATGGCTGGAAGAAGGTAGTGTGATTTTTGGGAGGAGGGAGGATGAGAGGTTGTTCCCTATATCAGATTCCTACTGGTCAAAGTATCTCATGCCATGAAGCTTAAAAAGGCCCAAGAGCACTATTTACCCAGTGATACACCCATATTTAGGAAAAGTTTCAACCTGCACAGTTATTCTGTTCACTTCATTTAACGACTGTCAGATAGTGTCTGGACATGGATAACTCAGCTTCATTCTGCCAGCTAATGAAAGTGCATCTTGCTGACTTATATTTTCTCTCACTTCTGAAATATTTCATGTTTCTGTTTGGATTAGGAACAGGAATTATCCCTTGTAAGTGTTTGTTAGTTTAATCCACCTTGGAGCAATCTATTTGTCTCCATCTCTTTTGACTTTACAAAAGCCATTTGTGACCTTAGCTGAAGGTAATTTATCCTACCTGGCTGGAGTCATTACACAAGAATGGATTACTAATTTCATTAGTAATTTTGTTTTTCTATGTCTGTGTTAAAGTTTGTACTTGTTAGACTTGTAGGGGAGGAAAAGAGAAGTTAGCTGGGCAGGTTGGACTGAGGTTTCTGTGTACCCAAAGTGAATGAGAGGATAGTCTGAAGGGTTGAATAAGAATATGTGAGCCTGACCATCAGAGTACTTGCTTTTAACTGGGAGTGGAAAAAAAGTTGCTATACCTGAACAACTTCAATCAATTTTCTTTCTTTACATGTGAATAAGAAGGAAAATCATATAGACCTCAATGCTTGAATAGATACTCTGTTAGAAAGGCTGTTTAATTTTTTATTCATCATTCCTACTCAGTGTTACCTGCTCCAGAAGTGATACCATATGAATGATAATATAAAGTCAGTCACAGAGCCTCTAGTTTTATGGATTTGAGTTTTTTCTCTGATGTGGTAGGAGAAAAAATTGCTTTTTATTTCAGTAGAATCCAAATTTGTTATGATAACATTTGAACTCTACAGATGTTTACACCACTTATATAGGAAATAGTGCCAACACTGTTTTAATTTTTTTCAATCTAAATTGTGTTTTATTGCTAGCTTCAACTTTAATTTTATGTATGTTTAATTAAAGTCACAGAAGCTTTAATTAAAGCTGTGCTCAATACTAGGAATGCTGCAAATGTTTTAAGCATTAAACAGTGCCAGCTAGGATTTGGATTAATGTAAGCTGAGACATTTGTGATGTGAATAAACACACATCATCATAATGAAACATTGTGCAAATAAATGCTTTTCATTCCAAGGGAGGAACAAAAAAGTTTCCTAATTGTATTGAACTAAAGTGCTAAATTACTTTGCATCAGCTTAATTTTCTGTGAATTGCTATAGAATAGAAATCAAAGCAGTGGATGAATTACTGTTTTGTTTTTGTATTTTCAGGTGTTTCGGCTACAGAAAGTCATCTGGAAATAGAAGGGATGGCAAATTGTCTGCCATATTATGGAATTTCTGATTTGAAAGAAATTCTGAATGCAGTAGTTAACAGAAATGCAAAGGAAGTATGTGAATGTAGGCCTCTCAAAGTGATAAATTACTTGGAGGTGAGGCAGAAGCTTTCTTTTAGTATTAGCCAACTAAACTTGTAATAATTCCTGAAACAGCTTGGAAGTCTTTCTTCAGCTTTGCATTTTAATTAATTTAATTGTGTTCTAAACAGAAGTTACTCTTGAAAAAGAGAGTATCATATCCTCTCTGAGTTTGTATATTCCTTACCAAAATGCTTCCCTCAGGTATACCCAGAAGTAGTCACCCAGTGTGATATAACACATGCCAAAAGGTGATTTTCACAAAGCATTTCCTCTGTAAGGCATTTCTCCATGTTAGGATACAAAACTGCCACAGAATAGCAGTGACTCATTCTGTGCAAATAAATAAATTGTCCATCCAAAGACAACTAATAGATGTGGTACTAGTTAAAGCTGGTGTAACCAACAGTAGTAGTAATCACTTCTTCACTAATGCTCTTCAATTCCAATTCTCTTCAAAAAGGTTACCAAAATACATGCAAAGCCTCTTCTTACTTAAACATTTATAACATACCTTCCTAAATTATTTGAAACTGGGACCTAGGCACATACTGACACAGAGTATGTGTTTTACCTTTGAAGCATTATTGTACAAATCTTTCCCTATCTTTTGGGGGTAGTAAGCTGCCTTTGCAGCAAGTGATTCTGTTCTGTATTACTGAACCACTCCCATGCACTCAGGAAAGAAGCTTAAAGAAGGGATAAGTTCAGTGTTGAGACAGGAATGGTTTGTAAAAAAAATCCAGAGAACTGTAAAAGCTGTTATTCAGAAATAAGCACTGAATTTTTTGACCACTCTGGGAGGTTAAACACTGGAAATGCCATTCACTGTCATGTTCAGAATCACAACTTTAATTATTCATTTCATGTCTGAGCAGGCAGCATGTCTGCAGCTTTTGCTGTCAGTAGATAGATGCAGAAGAAAGCATAAGGTAATGGTTGAAGCAGCAGCCTTCCAGGGTATAAAACAGTCCACAGTGATCTTTTTCCCACTTGGAGGAGTGGGAGAAAATCTCAGACAAAGAAGATGAGATGATTTAGATTAAATCATTATGAATGGTGCTCAGGTTTGTACAGTATGAAGGGAGGCTGTGTGCCACATACATTTCTGTCTAGGTAACATGACTTAAGTACAGAAGTCAGTGGCAGGAAGGCCCATCTTAGAGGATGAAAAAAAACTTTTTGAAGTTCCTTAGTTCTTTGGGGGTGGATACTTGAGCAGTCACTTCTGCTTTCTAGGGTTAAGTGGATGCAATAGACCATAGTAAATACAAATTTATCTATGAAGTTTTGCTATAGTATTTAAAAATTGTATTTACTGACTTCTTGAATTAATTCATTATACTTCTAAAGTTTGTGGTGTGAAATGTGTCTTGTGAACTGGTAAACATGTACAGCCGATGCTGGTGACAACAGGAAATCAGAAACAAAAAGCATCTTGCAGAAATAGGCTAAAGGAGTGCAAACATAACCAGGGGGCTGACTGTGCATGCCTCCATTGTAGAAATGTCATGAACTGACCAGTAAGAAATGTTTATATTTATGTTTAGATTTCTGAGATTTTGAATATTTAGCAACAGAAAAGGATGACCTTTAAACAGTGAGTTTTTAATTCTGCTTTCTGGTAGCCACAGGCTGATGGTGCTAAAAAGTGGTACTTTAAAACTATTGGGGTTTTGATTTTGTTTTTCCTTTCCACAGGGAGAAGCAGTACGTTTAGCTCGGCAGCTGCCCTTACATTTGTCAAAAGAAGATGTGCAAAACACAATTTACAGGATGAAGCAACAGCTTGGAAAGGAAAATAAAGGCTGTGTTCATGGTCGTCCTTTTTTTCATCACTTAACAGATATTCCAGAAGTTGACAAGCACAACTCCATGGAAATTATTCAGTAAATGGAACATTTTGTTTGAGGTCATACTTCTCTTGCTTAATTTTGATCACTACTCTGTAATTTCAGTATGTTTTGTGCAAAGCTTTTGTTTAATGACTTTTCATTGTGCATGTTCACCTCCTAAAGACTTTATTTAAATAAAAATGCTACTTGAAAACAGAAAAAAATACTGTAAAAAAACAACTCACCACTGTTTTTTTAAAAATACTTTATTAAAGAAATGTTCTCAACTGGTTTCCCCCTTCTCTTATTACTGCAGGTTTAAGAAATACCAGTATGTCAGAATTTTTTAGATGTGAAGTGGTTAGAAGTTGCTTTCAACAGAGCATGGCAAAGTTTATTATACTAAAGACATCAGCTGTTAATATTCAAAGGAATGCCAGATAGCTGTAAGTATATGAATATGGCATTGCCATATGCAGTTATTGTAGTTAGACTTCTAAGGTGTTGTATTTCTATTTGGAAATTCTTAGCTCATGTAAATGAGTATTGACAGTCCTAGTGCCCAATCTCCAAAGATTATAAACTTACAGAAGTATGGGCCTTAAAAGTACAGTACAAAAGTTTAAAAACTTCAGATCAACAAAAACTGGCCAGTTCCTTGAAAGCAGAATGGATGTGAATCACGGGAGCACAGGTTAGCACTAAAATCAGGTGCCCATGGATGTTTATTGGTGCAGTGTTATGCACAAACTGTTTGGGGGTGGGAAACATAAACTGTCCTCCCTCAGGGAGAATATGGCATAACTAGGGCATAGTCTGCTATATAGAGAGCTACTGATTTTGGTAAACTGGTTCATTCTCTTTCTACCAGAACACAATGTTTACTCCTCTATTTCAAGTAGTGGCCTACTTCTGTAAACCTACCCTCTAGGCCTTCTGTGCACAGCAGATGCCTTGTCTCTGGAAGAATTTTTTTTTAAAGTTTCAAGCTCACCTGAAAATTCCTGTTTATCCCCAGCTGTTGTTTACAAACCATGGCACTGTGAAAATGTGGTGGTAGGACCTAGCTTTGTAGTATTTCTGTAGCTGCTGGGTAAAGGGTTGAAGGTTGCTGAAAGGCACAAATGCAAGTTAGTTTGTGGACAAGAGTGTTGGACCAGACAAGAAAATTTAGTGTTTGAATGTGTAAATCACTGATGCTGAACTGGTGAAACTAATTTAAGAAATCACATCACAGCCGTACATCACAACATGTAAATTCTAACCTGAAAGGCAATTATTATCTTTTTCACAGAGCCTGTTACAACAGAACAAGAGGGAATAGTTTTAAACCAAAGGAGGATCGATCTAGATTACATATAAGAAAAGTGGTTTACAATGAGAGTGGTAAGGCACTAGAACAGGTTACCCAGCACACAGTAGATGCCCCATCTGTGGAAATACCCAAGGTCACGTGGCATGGGACTCTAGGCAACTCGATCTACTGAAGATGTCCCTGCTCACAGCAGGGGAGTTGCACTGGGTGACCTTTATGATTATTTCTTTATGCCATTAAAGGAAGTTTGTCCTTTTCATAAAGAGCAAGGATGATCAGAGGGCACAAGCAGGATATCTTTCCAAGCTTAATGGTAGCAAGGTACAAAATGAGAATGTCACTTGCAAACTGGACACTTGGCTTTAAATGTCACTCAGTGCAGAAGATGTGAATTTTTAGAATCGAAGTGAGAAGGTAGATGGAGACAGAGAAAGGAGACATGACCCTTGGCTCTGATGGGGAAACAGGATCCCAGCCTTGCATGGGATACAGAAGGTTCTAGTTTGTTTATTTTTATTCTTGTTGGAATACAAATTCGGAGAGTTTAGAGGGGTGCCATTACAGTGAAAAAAGCCAGATGCAAGCTGCAGAATGGAAGTTTATCTCCTGACTAAGGTTGTTGGAAATTAAATTAATGTGTGCACCACTTTTAGTCAGTTTGGAGTACAATATACAGTATTTAATGAGATTAATAATGACTGCTTCTTTTCCAAAAGGTAAGATAGCTATATCATAACTATACTGAAGCCAGTACTAGTATCTTTCCTAACACTTGAGTCTACATCAAGAGGACAAGTGTTTATTGGTATTCAAGCACTAGACTGAGGACAAAAATTGGCAAATGGTATTCACAGGTGCCAGAGTGGGTTTAGTTGCTATGGAAGCAAATTAGCATCAAGATTTTAAGTGCAGGTGCACTGGGTTAGGCAGTTGTGAGCTGGGGCTTCCCTCTTTTCGTCACTGTGTTTGCTGGCCCTGCACCTCAGAGAGCTGCTCTGGAGTTCTTCATTAGGTGCGTGTACGTACAATTTGTTTGATGTCTCTGGGGGCTGTTGTGTGGCTGGGTGCCAGAGGGAGTGCTGGAGCATGGCTTTGGAGCTGTAAGTCTGAGTGTCTCCCCACCACAGTACTCATGGTTGTGACTGCAAGCTGAAACTGGGAGTTATACTGTCATTCTGATGGGAGATGGCTTTAGATAGGACAGGGTGGAGGTCTCTCCTTGATTTATCTGGTGTGAACAAAAAGAAGTGTTACTTTCTGTTTCTAGAGATGTTCTCACTGATGTCTCTAGTGGTGCATCCATTTTATGTTTTTGTTTCAACAATGGAAATACCCCGGTTCTAGGTTTACAAGTTTGAAGAAGTTCGATGGTATGCCTGAGGTGGCAGTTCTGGAGAAGGAAGCATCTGCCATTGCATCAGCATGGGGTGCTATATACTAAACCCCACGAAACTCTCGGGGCAACACACAAAGGCTGTCTTTGCCTGCACTCGGTCCGTCCCCAGCTCTGTGGGGAGCTTGTTTAAAAGGGAGTAAACCTGAAATGTGCCACGTTGGCGGGAGTTGCAGATTGCCGAGCTTGACCTCCTCGCAGGGAGGAAGCGCTGCGGAGCGGGGCGTGGCGGGCGCGCGTCCCAGCGGCCAGCGAGGGGCAGCGCCTTGTGCCCCACGAGTGGCCGGGCCGGGGCACTCCGGGGACTTCTCGGATTTGCGCTGCCCTCTGCTGGCATTTCGGGTTGGTACAATTTGGGCTTAAAATTGAGGTCTGGGGCTGACCGTGGATGGACATTGTTCCTTCCATACTTGGAGGCATGTCAAAGCGTTATTGTTTACCTTGCTCCTCGTGGTGTGCATGTTTGCTTTCCTAAAATACACCTAGGGCAGGTAGCAGTGTTCTCTAGGGGAGGGTCAGGAGCTTTCCAGTCCAAAGCCTTTTGGTTGTACATAGCTTTGCATTTTTCAAAGGATTGTTCATCTCATTGGTTGGGCAAGGTTTGGCTCTGGTGGTGTGTTTGCACCTCAGGAGTCTCCTTCACCCAAATTCTGAGAAGTTGCACATTCCTTTAATGGGATACTGCTGAATATCAATTTAACTTTATAAATTGAGGGAAATCTCATTGAAAAGAAAAAGTATTTTTCCTTGCATGTAAGTATGGGTATGAACATGAAATTGAGGTAGCGCCGTGTGTCTTTTCTCAGTGTAGTAGGAATCTTATTAATGAAGTTTCTGTTCCAGTTAACCAATGTGTTTGTGAAGGAGTTTGGACTATTTCTTGTTTGTTTGTTTGTTTTTCCCTTCATCATGAATAGTATAGTTCAGAGAACTATAGCAAAACCAGAGGAACATCGAAGTTATTTCAGGAGCACTTAGGAGTCATTGGCAACAGTAAAATCTAGATAATGGAGTTTGGGATTTGTTAGAATGGATTCTCCTCTATTTCCATATTCTGATATGGAATATTTATTTATTCTGATATTAATATTCATTAAATATTTAAAATACCTATCAATAGGAACAATATTGCCAAGCACATTATTTAAGTCTCAAGGATTTAATTCCTTTTGTTTTCTCCTGTAAACTTTCTGGTGTTACTTCAATGAAAGTTGACTTCCGCAAACAACTTTTTTGATTTTTGAAAGGGTTGTAAAATTTGGTCTTCAGTGTTTGTTTTATCTTCTGTAAAGGAGGTCAGGCTTTGGTTTTGTATTGGGGTTTGGTTTCTTCTAAATAAACTTATAATTCTGAATTTATTTTTTGGCTGCAATAGAATATTGAAGGATTCTTGAGAATTTTGTTTCATTTGTACCCAGCATTTAACAGGATGAGTTAGCAATCATAAGAAACTTCAGGTACATCCATTTAATTTTGCAAATGGAAGGCTACCAGAACTTGCTTTTATTTTTTTCCCCTCTCTCCCTTTCTATTTAAGTATGGAGTATCATATCTGAAATTATGGAGAGTATAAATGTGGAAATGTTAAATCTTTTGTTAATGGCTTCGAATTAAGCACACATTGTTGCAGATGATTTGGAGGACTTATTTAAAGTAAATATACAATTTCAAGCTCAATTATCATTCATAGTTTAACCGAGCATAGTGAGATATTCAGTCTGTGAATTTGATACAGTGTTACTTCATAATTACGATGCTTTTTTACAGTAAATTTGATATAGAACAGTTGCTAAAGGAAAGCTGCTGAACAGTGTGACCAACCATTTTATGGGACACATCTGGTGCATTAGTTCAGGATGTGCAGTGCAGGAGAACAGAGCCTTTTGCCCAAAAGGAGAAGGAAGCTAACTCCACATGTATATGTTCTGGGGACGTGCAGAGGGGTTAAACAATTACGAGTTAATTGTGTAAGCTAATAGGAGGGGTGTTTGTAATGTCATTTCAGAATAGCTAAGGAGGAAACAGAGAAGAATTATTGTTTTAAAATCTCAAATGAATGGTTTACACCTGTTAATGTTACATTTAGAACAGCTGTTTCTTTTATTATCAGTAAACAGATGCAGAAAGTAATGGAATGTTTTAAAGCAATATGTTAATCCTGTCTTCCACTACTAAATATTCTCATAATGTTAAATATTAACTGTAATGCTGCTGTCATCTGCAGTTAAAGAATATTTATTTATTATTTATTATTAAATCACTTTTTATCTGAAGTTGTAAATGTTTATCCAAAGTTATTGTAGTCTTTCATCAACCCAGCCTAAGTGTTTTATTTACATGAGTAATTTTAGTGATTATTTCATTGGACTGAACTACTCAGTCAAAATTACCCTGATTTTGGTTTTCCTCAAAGGTTATTTCTCTATTTGAAGTTTCACCTGAAGGGAAACTAACTATATTTATAAGGGGTGTGGTAGGGGAATTGCTCTTAAGGGCCCAGTCTAGCACATATTTTATATGAACTCCATGTGAAGTTGATTATAGGTAAAGCTTTCCCAGGTTAAGCACTGCAGTTGGAA